GAGGGGGGAGGGGAGGGGAGCGAGGATGGAAGATGAAGGATGCGAGAGGGGAAGCCGAAACGACGAGTGGATATGCGGGCTTTACCCATGGGAGTATTACGGATTCAAGGTGAGTAGAGGTCTCACGAAGTAACCCGAGACATCAGCGGAGTAATATTTCCATATTCTGATATCGAATAAATGGATCGTTGCCGCGCGCACGACGTAGGCATAAATTCTCGGCAGGCCTATCATGCATCACGGACCGGTAGAAAGACCCGCCGTGGCTGCATAACTCTACGGCTATCGCGCACGAGGTGTGTGTCGAGAGTGCCGTCTTCTCCGTGCATTCGCTTCTTACGGGCACGTAGTCATTCGTACTTTTTCACGTGGACGCTCTCAAAACGAGAGTAATCCAGGTAGCTCGGACCTATCGGAGCTATCTCCATATTCTCAAAGTTACGTGTACACCTTCCTTTGCGAAAGCATAAAATCACATAAATTATATTATGTTAATATAATTAACGGCGCTTCTCTCCCTTTCCCCTCCCTCCCCCCCCCGCCCCATCTCTCTCTCACTCCCTCTCTCTATTTATACAATTACTAATTATTTCGTTTTTCTAGTAATAAATTTCCAGTTAATTAATAAATTACTATTGAATAGTCAAAATTACAAATTACGTATACCTAAGTATACAGCGAAACACATCGGTCAGTACTGCGGATGAAAAGATCACGAGAGAGTCTTGGAAATGAAAGACATCTTTTTTTCTCTTATGCATACGTACGCATAACACATACGCGTACTCCTTCCATTTTCTTCCTCCATGTTTCTTTCCATCCCCGAACACGAAGCTTCTATCTTTTCCTTAAAGCGTGCGAGCATTCCACCTCTTAGCTACGTAGCATGCATACTTACACTGGCTTATGTCCAGTTGGCCGCGATGTGTTTAACATGTCGCTCTCTGTTGCCGGCCAGGCAATTCCCCCCCCGTAGCTGTGCACGACCCACGACCGGATCAGACTTCCTTTAACGTAATGAGATAAGATTTCCCCGGTCGAACAATGCAGGAGGCTCACAAGCTAGCCTCTCGTGCGATTCATTAAACAAACGCTTAATTTGTAACGATCTCTCACTTTTTCAGATTTCGAAATTTCACTTCTAAATTGTTTTCTCGTTTTATCGTATCGTATACATTTTACTTGTAAGCGTCGTTTTCTAAAATTTTCACAAAATTAAATTCCGCATATTTTATCACACAACTTATATTTTATACAATTTAAACTTATCTTCATCTTTAAAATAAACAATTTACGTTGTGTGTGATTTCCTTATAATAATTATCTGTTATGTAGTAAGTACGACGAGACATCTCGTCTTATTACACAAATTTTTAATTCAATTATAGATACAACATATCGTATGATATTGTACACGATTAGTAACGAACGTTCAAAATTTTTTCAAAACCTAATAATAATGATAATGGCATATTCTTCATTCATAGACATTATCCCTTCGATATCCATATCTACGTCCGTTAGATATAAAAAAAAAAAAAAAAAGAAGAAAAAGAAAAACAGGTCAATGCAAGTGAATTCTCACTCCAGCGAGGAAAAGTGCGCGGAAAGGGAAGCTGGAACAGCGGCCTTGTCTTCCAGGCCCAGGTCGAATGTGTCAACCATACGAACGTGCGACAAGTAACCAGGATCGTTGCCAACGCCCGAGACCGACTGGCCGGACGTCTCGAACCACCAGCTTAGCGTATCGTCATGGGCACGACGTCGTAAACATCGTGCGTCGCGACTTGTAAATTCACCTGTGGCGTTTTAATGGTCTACCATGGCGCGTGTATTAGTTTCAGGGACATTAATAACGACACGGTGAAAGGCCTATCACCGATTAATTAGTCACCTAGAGAGAGAGAGCTCGACTCTCTTTAGCACGGTGCACCAAAAATTTCGCGAGGTTCTCCGACGTACTTGATAGACTAGACGCCAATCGACGTCGATAAAAAGTTTACGCTTCCTAAATAGAAAATATTGCAGAAACAAAGTTGCAGAGAGAAACTTGATTTTTTTTATGCAACAATAAATAAATGATAAACATAAAATTACCTTTCTCTTCTTCTTAATCGTAAAAGAATAAATATAAAAAAATCAGATGATATTTAAAAATTAAGTTCCTTCGGATAACGTGACGTCAATTTTTTTCACAGAAATTTTCGAGAGAAATCGTCATTTATCGCTGTTCATATATCTTTGTAATTAGATATCAAATTAAAATTCTGATTGAAATCCACCTAAATTTAACATTACAGAATTAATTTTATTTCATTTAACTTTCCGAAGTTTATTTCACGAATAATCTTTTTTTTTTTTTAATATTTATCACTTGATAACTATTAAACGTCCAAGTATTTTTGCTAAAAAAAAAAAAAAAAAAATCGATTTCGTTTTGACTAAAGGGTATCCTGCGCGTTATCTATTCTTTCGCTAAACGCGAAAGTTCCTTCTTGTTCGTATTTGGGCTTCACGTCGAGGATAAACAGTAAATAACAGTAAGTGCGATCCCATTGCGGCGAACGTAAAAAACTTATCTGGATGAGATAATTAGATAATAACTCATGGTCAGGGTCGTGAACTCTAACACGACAGGTGAAAATTAATCCGGAGATTATCCGGGAACGTTTATATTCGGCCGGCACGACGCGAGGCGACGCGACGCGCCGGGTGTCTACGGCACGACGCACAGGTCTCGAGCCTAATTCGTGTCTTCCTTCGCAACTTATAATTCAAGCTCGCAGACTGGAACCAAACTGAACAGAACTACGCTAACTTGCACAACGGTAATTATACACTCCATCCAGCCCCGTTCCCCGCATCGTACCTGTCTTCCCTGTCTGCCTCTGTAGCCCTTAAATTTCGCTTTATTTATGTCTCGTCTGACGTTCCTCGCGCTCGGTTCTAAACCTAAGTTTCTGAAATTAATCTTACAAAAAAGGTGCATGCGTTTATGTTAATTTGTGCGATGCCGGATGCATTCTTTACGCGCTTGATAGATACCGACGCGATAGATTCACCCCGCAAAGAATCTGTTCTCATTAAATTAGAATCAACTTTGGAACTTTTACTATATAAATTTCCATATAAATTTCTCAGACTATATACTATGTAAATATATATTAAAAATATTATTAAATATTTAAATTTATTATTACTAAATATTCTTAAATTATTTATAAAAAAATATTAATTGTTTCATCGCAGTCTATATATATACGGAAAGATCGTAATAAATATTACGTATATTTTAATTTAATGAACTTGTTTTCGCGCTTGCGCGTGATTTCGCGTTTATCGCAAAAACAGGACAAGCGGGACAAACGGACATGACAATACGGTGATTTTCGAATTACATTTTGTCAAATAGTAGCGTTTGTTCGCGAGGCTCGCGAGTGCTTAGTAGATAAACGTCGCGTGTTAACAAGCATTTAGACCGTCCCTGTCGCTTTGTCAGGTCGCAGACGTATCTTTTTCGAACGCGCACCCGCGTTCCATTTTAAGCCTCAACAATGCTGACGCGGCGCTGCGAAATTTACTGTATCTGGCGCCACTTCTATATTTACGATGGATACCGGGAAAGAGAGATATCTACGTGATTCAACGGACAGGCGAATAGAAGCGGCAGCGCGCGTCTCTCCGGCATACCCACCTCTGACGCTCCTTCCGCTTTTCATTCCAGCCCAGTGCTCTCCGTCCGACCATGTTCGAATTAAAACGCGAATCTTAACCGACGAACTAACGCGCACGTTTACTCATGCCACTTTGCGGTCACGCTTAATAACTCGAAAATTAATCCCCGAAAGCCACCCCGAGCCCCACGAGGCTGCGGCCGAAATGAGATAGAGAGACTTATTGTTCTCTTTGCTCTGTCGGTTTAACTTCTACCAGACGCAACGTGCTTCGTAAGTATAATTATGAA